CGCAAAGTTGTGCGATGTTAATCGAGGTAGTTCAAGCCAGTAAATCTTCCGTTAACTCGTGCCTTAACTTAGAAGTCTTGCCGCAGTAGTTTTGTGTGGACGTGTGTGGGGGTATAAGCTGGGGTGTCAAGGCTGAAGACTGAGGACGTGTGGGGGTATAAGCTGGGGTGTCAAGGCTGAAGACTGAGGACGTGTGGGGGGGTATAAGCTGGGGTGTCAAGGCTGAAGACTGAGGACGTGTGGGGGTATAAGCTGGGGTGTCAAGGCTGAAGACTGAGGACGTGTGGGGGGGTATAAGCTGGGGTGTCAAGGCTGAAGACTGAGGACGTGTGGGGGTATAAGCTGGGGTGTCAAGGCTGAAGACTGAGGACGTGTGGGGGTATAAGCTGGGGTGTCAAGGCTGAAGACTGTGGACGTGTGGGGGTATAAGCTGGGGTGTCAAGGCTGAAGACTGTGGACGTGTGTGGGGGTATAAGCTGGGGTGTCAAGGCTGAAGACTGAGGACGTGTGGGGGTATAAGCTGGGGTGTCAAGGCTGAAGACTGAGGACGTGTGGGGGTATAAGCTGGGGTATCAAGGCTGAAGACTGTGGACGTGTGGGGGGGTATAAGCTGGGGTGTCAAGGCTGAAGACTGTGGACGTGTGGGGGTATAAGCTGGGGTGTCAAGGCTGAAGACTGTGGACGTGTGTGGGGATATAAGCTGGGGTGTCAAGGCTGAAGACTGTGGACGTGTGTGGGGATATAAGCTGGGGTGTCAAGGCTGAAGACTGTGGACGTGTGGGGGGTATACGCTGGGGTGTCAAGGCTGAAGACTGTGGACGTGTGCGGGGGTATAAGCTAGGGTGTCAAGGCTGAAGACTGTGGACGTGTGGGTGTATAAGCTGGGGTGTCAAGGCTGAAGACTGTGGACGCGTGAAGAGTCTGCGAGTTGCGTTTCAAAAAGGCTGTGTTTCATCTCAAAGGCACGAATACGGTCATAAAACTCTACCAGTAATTTATTGCATTCTTGCATCTTTGTGTTCAGGTAATTTATGTGTTCTGTGATATGCACCATGAAAGTTAGATCTTGAACCCCTTCATTACCTTTCAGTTAATGCACATCCTTTTCTTTATGTTCCATTAAAATCTGCATTTCACGAGGGAGTTCATTACAGCGCCTCAGTTCTGCTCCCCGAGTTAACCATGGCATCAGCGTGACCTGGCAGTGAGGAGCCTCATTGTCTTCCAAACACCAGCTGACCTGTCTGCGTTGTTGCTGAACGCTGTCTCTATGACTTCATCCATAATATCCAGTTTTAATGTTTTACGGCGCAACTCTCATGCAACCTTTATGCAATATGCAATGGAAACGGTACAATTCACGTTGTCGTTCACAGCTAGTCTGTTTTTCCTTTAACAGACACCCCAGCTTTTCTCACCATACTATGCGAGGCTCCATCTGTAACTGAACTCTCATATTTTGTTCAGTAGACGCCTAATTTGTCGAACATTCCTACCAAGCTCAACTATAATATTACCTGCTGTTGTTCCTTTCATTGGTATCCACTGCACACACACGTCTGACACCTGCATACGTTCATCAACACAAAATATACACATTGCTTGATGTGCTGTATCAGTTGCAACACAAAAATGCGGTAAACGTTTTTAATTTCCTTCGAGTTGACAAAACTCGTCGCGCGAGCTTCATAGAACCACATATAACTGACGTTTACTGGACTGACCTCCACAAACATCCTTGGCTGCAGGAGCTATAAGAATCATTCCCCACTTTTAACGGACACCGCAGACAAAAATAGTCACTTGCCAAAAAGTATGAATTATTTTTAAAATGTCTTATAGCTGTGGGGTGTAGGAGAGGTTGAACCAACTGGTGGGTCGCGGGCCACATATAAATAATTGACGGGCCACATATAGATAATTGACGGGCCACATATAGATGGGTGACGGGCCACATGCCGCATATTTGACACCCCTGGACAGAATGTTGCAACCCTTGTTTATTTAGATAATCCGTTCAATAATGCTTCAACGCACTGTCAAGAAAGAAACATTTTCAGGATGTACACATTCAAGGAAATATACATACCAGGTAACCCCTAAAGTAACCCTTTGAAGCCATACCAGGTAACCCCTAAAGTAACCCTTTGAAGCCATACCAGGTAACCCCTAAAGTAACCCTTTGAAGCCATACCAGGTAATCCCTAAAGTAACCCTTTGAAGCCATACCAGGTAACCCCTAAAGTAACCCTTTGAAGCCATACCAGGTAATCCCTAAAGTAACCCTTTGAAGCCATACCAGGTAACCCCTAAAGTAACCCCTTGAAGCCATACCAGGTAATCCCTAAAGTAACCCTTTGAAGCCATACCAGGTAACCCCTAAAGTAACCCCTTGAAGCCATACCAGTAACCCCCCAAAGTAACCCCTTGAAGCCATACCAGTAACCCCTTGAAGCCATACCAGTAACCCCCAAAGTAACCCCTTGAAGCCATACCAGTAACCCCCAAAGTAACCCCTTGAAGCCATACCAGTAACCCCCCAAAGTAACCCCTTGAAGCCATACCAGTAACCCCTTGAAGCCATACCAGTAGCCCCCAAAGTAACCCCTTGAAGCCATACCAGTAACCCCTTGAAGCCATACCAATAACCCCTTGAAGCCATACCAGTAACCCCCAAGTAACCCTTTGAAGCCATACCAGTAACCCCCAAGTAACCCTTTGAAGCCATACCAGTAACCCCCAAAGTAACCCCTTGAAGCCATACCAGTAACCCCCAAAGTAACCCCTTGAAGCCATACCAGTAACCCCCAAGTAACCCCTTGAAGCCATACCAGTAACCCCAAGTAACCACATGAGAGCACTAATGTTTCCAGGTAAATATCTGACCCTGCTCAACGCAAACTGCCCACAAAACTGAACCACATAATCTCCTCTTCCGGCTTCTTATTGCCTTAGGTCTGACTGTGATTTCATTCATGAAATGGGAGCTAGAGAACCTCATGCCGATCCTTGCGTCATTCGACGTGAACGCTTTGTTTACCATCATCCTAGTTGGGCGAACTGCTAGTATCGTACTTAAGCACGTGTACCAATAACTGCATCCTCCTCTTCTTCTTCCCTTCCTTCTCCTCTTCTTCCTCCCCTTCGTGCTCCTCCTCTTCTTCCTTCTAAGGTACCTAGAACTATTATGCAAGCTCAGGGCTTGCACGTACCATGGTAAAGTTGCTAATATGGTTCCCTCTGGTGTCATGAAAGCAATCCCTACCTGCAGGTTGTAGCAATGGGGTCCCCACGGTGTCCTTTTTGCCTCTACATTTGAAGTATATGCACGCTACTGGACTCAAGATAGTATGACCGAGCCAGCTTATAGAAACAGGTAAGTCGATGATATATTTATGTGTTAAAGACATGGAAAGACTAGAGAGGCTGATCAGTGACTTCCAAGAAGTCTCTGGTTTGAGGTTTACTGCAGACAAGATAATATACTGATTGTACACTATTGTGTTACGGATGTCCAAGTAGCTGCTACTATTAGAGAAATGGTATAGATATTTATCAAAAACATACCGACAAGGTTAAGGGCATAAATAGCATTAGTGAATGCTTAGAAAGTTGTATGACCAATATTATCGGAAGCTTCCCGTGACGGGCGATCCCCACCGGTTCCACACGGCAGATGGCAAGCGTTCTTCAAGGTAAGATAATTATCAGGAGAAAGTGCTTAGCCATTACTATATGGATATATTACTTGGAAGGGATATGAAGACAAAGATTTGGATTAGCACGATGGAAAAGATTGGTGCCCAACCACTTAGACGGTAGGGGATTGAATGCAGACATGCTAGAAACGAGACCGTCGCTCTACCGTCTAGTCCAAGTGGTTGAAGGCGTTTTCCAAATCATCATAAACAATGGTTATTCCAGCACCAATTTTGATGAGATGATTATTAAGATCTTCAACCACCACCTTACCGAGAGAACTCGTACCCAGGAGTCTTTCCCATAATAATATGAAGACATGTTATATGACGGTGGCCGGGCGCAGGAGCAATATCTCTGGAGCAATACCATCAGTCGTGGAACAGCCGTAACTAAAGTTTGCTCAACAGTTCCTCGGTGCAGTTAATGTCAGTGTGAGGTCTTAAATGATCATCTTGCAGGACAAATCATCCACAATGCGCGCGGTACTTTGCAAAATTTAAGAATCTTTCGTGTTCATCTCTAACACTAGTCTTCTCTACCCCCTCACATTCTACACTGTAGATGTCTTTGATCTTCCACCAAGACTTCTAACAAGAATACCCGAGATAACAAGAACAATAGAAATTAATAAAGTAATAACCTTTCAAGAAACGCCCTGAACGCACTATGCTCAGCACAAACTGCTTAACATCCCTGAGATTAAAATATAAATATCACTCATCATACACGTCTCAACAACTTAATATACTCGACAGTCACATACAACACCAGAGAAAACGCTCCACTCGTCCTGAGCATCAGGCAGACTAACACACTTCCTGTAATCTCAAACACACTTTAAACTCTTTGTCAGAAGAGTATCCTGAACAAATGAAAGTAGTTCATCCCTCAGAGCAATTGTGAGCAGTTGCAAGCTCACACAACATCAGTTCATCATGCCCGCTTGACGAATACATGCTACCGAGGTGTGTAGCAATACCTCAGGAGCATTGGGGGACAATATATACCCACCTCGTGGACGGTGGTGGACCCCATACCCTCCCTTATGGGTGGTGGTGGTCCAGTTACCCCATTGTAACCCTCAACACTACACACACACACCTTATCATTGTAACCATGTACACTACACACTCATCACTGTAACCATCTACACTACACAACACTCTCATAACTGTAACCATCTACATTATACCCCTTCACTGTTGAAGCCATCAACACTACACACGACAGTTGTCATTATAACCGCCACACACACTATGCTCACTACTGTAATCATCATTACACATTATTTTCATTACCTGCCATCTTCACCTTCAGGGCGCCACTGGGCGCCATCTAGGCGGTGTGTGGGCTCTGGAGGCTCTCCACACACTCGTAATGTGAAAATAAAATGCTGGATGATTCTTAATGGGGCTATTCAGCGAGGTTGTAAGTTGTAACCAAGAGCGGGTGTATAGGGGCACGACCCCGGACCCGTGTGTCCTGTCAATGATCCAGCAACCACCAGTCACCCTACGAAGCTTGCTGAGGTTAGCCCCAAGCGTCTGGCCTCCATCCGTGCTCACGTATTCATCATTTTAACCTATTATTTAATGGAAAATATATACCTACACCTCTACGGTGAGTAGATGGTGGTAGTGAGAGAGGAAGGGGAGGGAATAGCAGTGGAGGGGAGTTAATGGGATGGGTGAAGAAGGGAGAGAAGGGGGAGGTCCTCGGTGTCTTGTCTTGTCCTCTACAGCGCGGCATAAAAGTTCCCGGACGTCATCGTGTGGTTTTATCGACCTCACTATAACTTACTGCAGTTGCCGTTGTCTCTCTCTGTTCTGGCTTGATTAACCTTACCCTAATTTTTTGTCATCTATTATTCTTCGTCTTGATTGAAGATGCGCTGTTATTCGTTCTGCTGTGCGAGACAAAAGGCCTCGCACACCCACGCATCTGCGGGTCGCTTTCATTATCATCTCGCTCCGTTAAGCGAGTTTTCGGTACCGGAATAGCATGAGTCATTTTAACGAACGAAGCATTACCTTGCGGTTACCTTGCGTTGATTTCGGGAACCAAAGTCCTCGCGGCCCGGTCTCTGACCACACCGTCTGGTTGCAGGACTGGTCAACCAAGCTGAGGCCTTCAGTGATTTTTTTACCCAACGAGACATTCAGTGTAACTGACTGACTGCAGTTGTAAATTGCCTTAATGTTCTGTATGAGGTCCACCACCGCCCACGGGATGGGTATGAGGTCCACCACCGCCCACGGGATGGGTATGAGGTCCACCACCGCCCACGGGATGGGTATGAGGTCCACCACCGCCCACGGGATGGGTATGAGGTCCACCACCGCCCACGGGATGGGTATGAGGTCCACCACCGCCCACGGGATGAGTATGAGGTCCACCACCGCCCACGGGATGGGTATGAGGTCCACCACCGCCCACGGGATGGGTATGAGGTCCACCACCGCCCACGGGATGGGTATGAGGTCCACCACCGCCCACGGGATGGGTATGAGGTCCACCACAGCCCACGGGATGGGTATGAGGTCCACCACAGCCCACGGGATGGGTATGAGGTCCACCACCGCCCACGGGATGGGTATGAGGTCCACCACCGCCCACGGGATGGGTATGAGGTCCACCACCGCCCACGGGATGGGTATATGAGGTCCACCACAGCCCACGGGATGGGTATGAGGTCCACCACCGCCCACGGGATGGGTATGAGGTCCACCACCGCCCACGGGATGGGTATGTGGTCCACCACCGTCCACGGGATGGGTATGAGGTCCACCACCGCCCACGGGATGGGTATGAGGTTATGAGGTCAACCACCACCCACAGGATGGGTATGAGGTCCACCACCGCCCACGGGATGGGTATGAGGTTCACCACCGCCCACGGGATGGGTATGAGGTCCACCACCGCCCACGGGATGGGTATGAGGTCCACCACAGCCCACAGGATGGGTATGAGGTCCACCACCGCCCACGGGATAGGTATGAGGTCCACCACCGTCCACGGGATGGGTATGAGGTCCACTACCGCCCACGGGATGGGTATGAGGTCCACCACCGCTCACGGGATGGGTATGAGGTCCACCACCGCCCACGGGATGGGTATGAGGTCCACCACCGCCCACGGGATGGGTATGAGGTCCACCACCGCCCACGGGATGGGTATGAGGTCCACCACCGCCCACGGGATGGGTATGAGGTCCACCACCGCCCACGGGATGGGTATGAGGTCCACCACCGCCCACGGGATGGGTATGAGGTCCACACAACCCGTACTCCTAATAGAACATTGCATTTTTACGTATACTTTACTCAAGGCCAAAAAATCATCGTACTAGAAAATAGTACCGGCTCGCGAAATTGACTTACTGCTGTTTTCTTTTTCGGGTCCCCTGGTGTGTTAGGTTAGAGGACTTAAGTACAATAGTTTCTTGACGTTTATAAACTTTAGGAGGACAGGTTGGGTTCACCACCGCCTACGGGAAAAGCATGGAGTTCACCGCGATACTAACAAAATTTTTGTTTTATAATTAAACTTCGTCTTAGGTTTTGGCTTGCGGTATGACAGTGTTGATGGATTATGTTGCTACAATATGATTACACTCAACATTCTTTACTAATTTCACGATTTCATTATATATATATATATATATATATATATATATATATATATATATATATATATATATATATATTAGTATATTTTGGTAGCAGTCTTTCCTGTAGATATATATATTATTAAATATGACCGAAAAAGTAGGATTAATAATTCTAACACGAATTTTCTCGATCTTTCTTATGTTTCTTTTCACTGTTGATGGTAATTGAAAAATCAATTCTCCAAAATTCATTTTTATTTCTAGTCTGACGCGACACTTGAACGCGTTTCGTAATAACTTATTACATTTTCAAAGACTTTTAGTTTACACACACACAACTATTACCTGCAAACACTAAACAGAGTTCTTACTATGCTATGATTTAAACAGCTTTCATTTTCATTTTATACCCGCATTTTGGGTGAGGTGATATGTTACAACAGTTTTGGATGAGGTGAGCAAAACTTTCAACACAGGATAGAACACGAAACAATGGGTATTGAAGGTAAGAATGGAAATAATTGCAGAGGGCCTATTGGCCCATATTTCTTGATGCTTCTATATTGGAGCGGAGTCTTGAAGTGGGTAGAATATAGTTGTGCATTAACTGGCTGTTGATTGCTGGTGTTGACTTCTTGATGTGTAGTGCCTCGCAGATGTCAAGCCGCCTGCTATCGCTGTATCTATCGATGATTTCTGTGTTGTTTGCTAAGACTTCTCTGGTGATGGTTTGGTTGTGGGGCAACTCTCTAGATATGATAGAGCCGAATAGGCTCCGGAACCTGTACACCTGTTGAGAGGCGGGACCAAAGAGCCAGAGCTCAACCCCCGCAAGCACAATTAGGTGAGTACACACACACACAGGCAATCCTAATGGTAGTATCTCTGGCGTAAAGGGCGTGCGGTCGGCGGGCGTGGGCATCACAACACCTAATTTTGCCGTTCACGGTATTATCTGGTAATGGCAGCGTGGAAGGTTACCGGAATATGAGGTGAGCTGACCGTCTCGTTCCTGCCTTAGTGTTATCTCCCATTCCCTTCCTCAAGTAATATATATACACGGAGAGGTGTACCGCGCTTCTCGGTCTACATGCACTGAGAGTCGACTTTAGCTCTGGTTCTTTTGTTCTGGACTAAAAAATACTTGCTCGCTGTTCAGTGAGATTTTGTAATGGTATTAATAACCCTCCACACTGATAAGTCCAACGTCACAACCTTCCCACCTCCTGTCAGCTATGAGGGGGTGGGAAAAAGAGGGGTGGAAAGGGAATATTGATGGTTAGTCAGGGCCTTGTCCCATATAGTGTCAGCAACTTCCACCCAGGAGGAGCTGGGTTGTGTACTTTCCTAGTTGTGTCAATCAACTGTCAATCAACTAATGTACAGGTTTCTGAGCCTACTGGGCTCTATCATATCTACATTTGAAGCTGTGTATGGAGTCAGCCTCCACCACATCACTTCCTAATGCATTCCATTTGTCTACTACTCTGACACTGAAAAATTCTTTCTAACGTCCCTATGGCTCCTTTGGGCACTCAATTTCCACCTGTGTCCCCTAGTGCGTGTGCCCCTTGTGTTAAATAGACTGTCTTTATCTACCCTATCAATTCCTCTGAGAATCTTGTATGTGGTGATCATGTCCCCTCTAACTCTTGTCTCAGTGATGTGAGGTTTAATTCCCGTAGTCTCTCCTCGTAGCTCATACCTCTCAGTTCGGGTACTAGTCTGGTGGCAAACCTTTGAACCTTTTATATATACCCGAAACGCTTTGCGTAATAGTGGCTTTAGGCATTGTATGTACTAGCTCTACCTATAAGTCTACCAATCCTTGTAAAAATTTATTGTATGTACCTTACCTAAATAAAATTGTATTGTATTGTATTGTTTAAAGTATAGGCTTATGCTTGACTAGATATGGACTCCATGCTGGAGCCGCATACTCCAGGATTGGTCTGACATATGTGGTATACAAAGTTCTGAAAGGTTAGAGTTTCTAAAGGCCATTCTCATGTTAGACCGGCCTTTAGTTTAGTTTGAACTTATGTTTTTTTGTTCTTCTTGTGTATGTGTGTGTGTGTGTGTGTGTGTGTGTGTGTGTGTGTGTGTGTGTGTGTGTGTGTGTGTGTGTTAGAAATATATATATAGTATATATATAATTGGATTGGTTAGAAAGGCGGGATTCAAGAGCTAGCAATTCGATTCTGCAGAAAAAAATAGGAAACACACACACGCACTCGCACACTAACGAGTACATTTATATAAAGTTTAATTAAATTTGGAAAAGTGCATATTCCTGGAATAATTTTTTTTAATATTATTGAAGCAAACGAGTTAATAAAGTTTTAAATACTCTCATCTTACTTCACAGAAAATGACGTTGGTTTGTTCTCGCTTTGTAAGAATTGCTAAAAAATAAGAGTGAGTGACGATGGAACTGTGTTGTGTTGTGTTGTAAATGTGACGACGGAGCCTTCCAGCGCTTTTAATATAATTGCCTAAGTAATTAACAAATGCTCCTATGATGGAATTACCTAAAAATGTCCAGAGGACATCGGATTACATTTTATATATCTGTGTGTGAAAAATATATATATATATATATATATATATATATATATATATATATATATATATATATATATATGTGTGTGTGTGTGTGTGTGTGTGTGTGTGTGTGTGTGTGTGTGTGTGTGTGTGTGTGAGACCACAAAGGAAGAATTAAAAC